TTGGAAAAATGCCTTGAAAATTTATTTACACGTAGCGCATGTCGTACAAAATTTACAGAAAAATATTTAACATTTTTTTTTTTTCTTAAGGCCCCAAAATTATTTTTGGCGAGGGCCGAACCCCCTCAGGTTTGACCCCTGAATAGGATCCCGAACGTTAAGGGGTCAGCTCGGGCTCCCTCGAACGTTCGGTCTGGTAACTATGTATATATATATATATTTATATAATGGATGCATATTTTTAAGTCAGTGTCTATAATTCTTACCACTATAATTCATTCATGCCCACCTTCGTGATTTCTCTTTCTCTAATGATCACTTGTCACCTTATACATTATTCTCATATTTGGTATACCATGTTTTTTAATAAACATGTAACCAAAGAGAGATAAGGAGTTGTGACTGCATATGTGATATAATGTAGATTCACTGCACAAAGTATATTTTTTTCATTGCTCATTTTACCCATTTATTTACAATACCTATTACACATCACATTTAATAAGTCTCGCTTTATATTTATTTTTTAAGGATTTTGTGGTCACACAGGGTGATTCGAGTTCAGCACAGGCTTAACTTCTGAACCTGAACAGTCAAACAGTTGAACGTTCGCCCCCCCTATGACGCTCGACCGGGAGTCAACTTTGATTTTTTTTTTTTTTTTTTTTTTGCAAAGGGCGACGACCTTGTGATATTATTGAGTTGATCAGCCTTAGACAATATATTAGGTCTTACTCATCAAGTTTCATCATCTGGATTTGAACACAGGTTTGTATTTCAACAGGTTGTCGGTGTACCCACTTAGCTAGGCTTTTTTTTTTTTTTTTTTTTTTTTTCAGATGATGGAAGGAGGTGTTGTTTTACACAAACTCATATTTAAAAAGTTAATAATAAAAAAAATGCGTTTCAAGTTATCCGTCAAACAGTTGGGTTACAACCCTGAGTGATGTCTGTACATGTATGTGGGGGGGGGGAGTAACCCACCCTCAATCAATCAACAATTAATCAGTTCTAAAAAATAAATGTGTCGCCATATGTGCGGGCACCCGTCTGTGTTTGTGTGTGTCGAAAGGGGGTCCCCCACAACCAATAAATCAATGAGCAATTAAAATTATATTTTTTTATTATTATATCATTTTAAAATATATATTGATTGATCAATTGATAATTTGGGGATGATTGACCACTCTCAAGCTAAACTTGTTCGATCCATCAATCAATCAATCAATATATAAAAAAAAAATAAAAACAAAGAATGAATTGATTGATTGATTGTTTTGTTGAGGGATAGACACCCCCCTTACAAATCAATTAAGTAATAAATTAATTAAAAATAATAACAAACAATAAAAAAATAATTTGGATTTTTTTTCAAAATGTTTTCATCCCCGTATCTTTTACTTTTTTTTTTTGCTCAACAAAATTAAAGAAACATTTACACTAGGTGTTTTAGGTACGGGACTATCTGCGAGGGAGAAAAAAAAAATCACATTTTTAATTAAGATTATTTACTTTATTCATTCATTTTTTATTATAATTAAGGTTGATATTAAGTTATAATGATTCAAATAATCTTTAAATAATATACATTATGATAAAAAATATTTTTAACATTTTAAAAACAGTGTAATAATTATTTTATGATTAATCAATTTAATATATACTGTAAGTTTTATCTATTGACAATGTTATTCAGACAGTGCATATTTTGTATATTAATATGAGTAGATGAAAATTTTATGTTCTTACAATTAAATTTGAAGTCACTTGCACGTGAATCATAATATATAAACAAAAATATTACTAAAGCAATTCGTGATTGCTACAAAATAATACTATACAAATTGATTAGTTATACTAAGCTAAGAGGCTAAGGTTATAAAATGAATTGAGGCAAAATATTATTGGTTTGTGCAAAAGCACCATCTACATAATATATCCAAACGTGTTCATTGACAAATATATATAAATGACCCGAAAATACTTGCATGAACAGAGAAAAAAAAAAACATAACTTATTTCTTAACTATTTTTTATCTATTTTTCGATAAAGGATTTTGTATAAGATTCAGTTTATTATTTTTATGATATAGTTTTTTTTAATATATAGAGAGTCATAATATGACGTTTACCCAATCAGGTTATCAGCGTAGCCGAGATTAACCAACCCATTTCAATTGGTAGCCATACTTACTTGTGTGTTTGCAATCATATGAAAAAGATTCAAGTGTGGTCGGTTTACCTTTGGCATGGGATCGGGGATTCGGCATAAGAATTGTCGTAGTCTTTTTTTTTTTTTTTTTTTTTTTAACTTAAATATATATACAAAAATTAACAAAAAAATAAAGGTTCTAAAATTTATCGTCATTGTTTTTACGAAAATATAGAGTCCTTACTACTGACTCGACGAGATCTCAATGAAACAGTTAATCACAATCCCTTGTTTATATATATATATCGTCAAATAGAATATATATATGTATATATGCAGGGTTACTGGCGTTCGAGACAGGCCGAACGCCCGAACGTACGAGACCCATTTTGAAGGCGTTTGGCTGTTCGGGCCGAACGCCGACAAAAAAAAAAAGAAAACAAAAAGAAACTTTTAAAAAATTCCGAAAAAAAAAATGTTATGGAGAAAAATAAACTAAACAACATTTGCATAGGCACTACTTCTAAATTCTTTACCAAATTTGAATTAAAAATCAAATACAGAAAATAAACACTTTGATAAAAATAAGAAAAAATAAAAAGAGAATTAAAATGAGTGAGTGTGCCAGCACATTTTCGACACCGCCATCTTTGTCGATTTTTAATTATTTTTTGACATTGACAAATGCCCTGAAAATTTACCGATATGTAGTTTACATAATCAATAACTCATTAAAAAGTTTTCAAAAAATAATATTTTTTTTTAGGCCCCGAAATAAAATGAAAACAAAAAGTGAAAAGTGAAAAAAAACAAAATAGTGAGTGAGTGGGCAAGCACGTCTTGACACCCTGATCTTTGACGATGTTTAATGTTTTTTTGGCTCAGCAGAATGACTGCATGTAGGTTACATCATAAAGAACTAAAAAAAAAAAATCAGAAAAAACAACTTATTTTTAGGCCCCGAATATGTTTTTGGCGGGGTCCGAACCTGGAGGTGTTCGACCCCTGAACGGGACCACGAACGTTCGGGGGCCCCCGAACGTTCGGTCAGGTACCCCTGTTCATATGTATATATATATATATATATATATATATATATATATATATATATATATATATATATATATATATATATCACAACCTCACGTTTGTTATTATTTTCTTCCTGTCTGTCTACAATTTTTCGACCGCATAACAATTTGAGTTCTTAGGATGAACAATACTACCGTGTTAAAATTGTCGGTGGTTGCGACGAAGAGAAAATGAAAACACTTATGTGACAAATTTTATTTTTGATGCGCACAACGAAAATTCCCCTCAGCAGAAAGAGGATCGAAGATACTTGTGGTTTAAACCACCAGTACCTTACCTAACTATAGGGTGTGGAAAGGAATAGAGTAAAACTATTTATAGTCGGATGAATTTGGACGCTATTGTAGTGACCCATACATTTCATAAAATTGTAGCTTGTTAAACCACCACTCCCCCCTTGGACCTAAATTCGGCCTTCCTGCCCTTACAGACCGGGTTTTTAGAGCGACAGTGACTAACAGGTGCAGGCGGGTCCAATCCCGCAATTTTTAAGCGCAAAAGTTTTGGCCAAATTTTGCGATAAAAAAAATTGATGTTAAAAGTTTGCGATCTTGTAGATTAGACTATGATCTATCCAGGAAAAATATCATTAAAAAAAGAAAAAAATTTAGACAATTTAAAAAATGCCGCGCCGATTAATCTCATTTTTCATTTTTGTCTTTCTACCACGTGTGTCCAACGGGAAAAGTACCTCAACTTCAACGATTTTTCATGATCAAAAGAATTATAAAAAAATCTAAAAATTAAAGGGTAAGTAAATTTGGCCACGAACTTTCTAAGAAAAATATTTAAAAAAATAAATAAATCGTTTAGGCCATGAGATAAATCGCAGTGGCAATTCGATGCATTTTTTATCTTTGCCACACCCCTGGTTTCCCCGCGGTGCTACCGGTAGCCCTCTTGAACCTGTGGTTCCGGTCCCCCTGAATTTAGGCCGGTGGGTGGAGTGGTGGTTTAATGGGCATGAATTTATGAAGTACTGGTGATTTAATGGTCTTAAAGGAGGATCATGCATACATTTCCTAGCATTTTTCCCAGATGGGGCCATACACGAGTTGCAAGTTTTGAGGGTTGGCCTATAGGAGCAAAATGGTTGACAGCGCCAACTAATAAAAGTGACCCACGGTTTTGGTTTTCGTTGTTTTTGCGTCAAAATCTAAATTTTAGAGGTCGGGGTTCTTTACATTACGTCCCTGGAAGGTATTGGAAGCATCATCCAGCTTAGCTTACAGGCAAACCGCCCGCAGGTCTGTTCCCCAAGACCCTGCAGCTCCAAGGCTGCAATCCTACACTACCTCCCCAACGTAGTAATTCTATAGCTACCGATTCTACCTAAGAACCAAGCGTACCTATTATACAGCCGCCTCCTTTCGTTACGCCTGCCTAAAGCGGAGGCATGGAAAATATTGTTCCAAGAGCCTACTGGAAATGGACCAGCCCCTAACACAGAGCTGCGGAACCTAATGCATACGGTAAGGGTCCCTCCCTCCACACTTACCTGCCAACTACTGCCTTCCTCCTGCAGAAAATAGGACCCAGCGTTCAGGTCTTGGGTTTGTTTTTTGTGGTGCGCAGGGTGTTTTGCGGATGGGAAAAATATTCATGAACCTAGCTATTCTGCAAGCATTTCGTGCTCCCTTGTTCTCAGCGGAGTACCCTGTGGGGCCTGTCTCGTATCAAGTGCCGAGTCTGGCAGACGAATTGGCCTGGAGCTCTGTCGGAAGTCCCAGGGCTCTAGCCTGTCCGCGAACGTAATGCATGAAGCAGGTTCTCACGCCACCCAGGGTAGTGCTGGTGGGAGGGGCCTGTGAGTCGTGTACTCGTACGGCCAGTGCTCCGCTAAGCCTGGTTGCCCTGTACTGTATCCCTTTTGCACGGCAGGCCAGCGGGAGGGGTTCTTTTTTGTCGCATCCCTGCTTTGGATCGTTATGCCAGGCGACCGAGTATAATTTCCTCCCCGCCATTTGAGCACCTCCTTTCAAGTTCGCATCTGTAGAGCACGGGTAAGACCGGCTCTAAGCAGGAGGTGGTGGTGACTTAGGGTTGTCGAGTGTGCGTGTTGTTGCTTGCCTCTCGGCTGGTCACAGACAGCGACAGGTATGGCGCCGAAGAAGGACGCGAAGGCCGCCGCCGCCAAGCCGGCCAAGAGTACTGGCGGTGGAAAGCAGAAGAAGAAGAAGTGGAGCAAGGGAAAGCAGAAGGAAAAGGTCAACAACATGGTCCTCTTCGACCAGGCTACGTATGACAAGCTGCTCTCCGAAGTGCCGAAGTACAAGCTCATCACGCCTTCCGTGCTCTCCGATCGTCTGAGGATCACCGGCAGTCTCGCCAGGAACGCGATCAAGGAGCTCATGGCACGTGGCGTTATTCGGTTGGTGAGCGCTCATGCCAATCAGCAGATTTACACGAGGGCTACGAACACATAAGCGGGCATTTGTATGCAGTAGGTGCGTTGCGAGGGGCCATTGGAGGGAAGGGGGTTGGGAATGGGTCCAAGACAAGGGCAGTCCTAGTACCTGCAGGAGCTTTGGGCTGCACGTTTCGGCAGAAATAGGGTTTCTGCAATCGTCATGCCACACTTTGTGATGATGCGGCGGTGCAATGTCATCCATAAACACGCCGCAGCTTGTTCGCGCGGAATTTTGGTTGGTGCCTGAAGAGGGTTTGTGTTGTTGATCATTTGAGTAAATTCTTTTTCGAGAAGTGATGGAAGTATTTTGAGGGGATGGGAATTGAAATGTGTCGGCCCGACTTTGACTCCCCTACCTCCGTGTGTTTGCAGTTCCATGGATTGCCGAGATTGCTATGTTCCCGAAATCTCTTATGGCAACTCTTCCTGCCCTAATTTTCACTGTATGTCCTTTTTTTTTTTTGTTCATTTTATGTCCCCTAGTCCTTTTTTCTCTCCTACCACTCCTGCCCTTTCTCGTAGGTTCGTCTCCAGTCTCCTTTTCTCCCCGTTCTCTTTCTCTCCACCTTCTCATTCTCCCCCTCTTCTCTCCCGCCTTTTGGCGGTCCTCCTTTCCTAACTAGCTACTCTTCTTCGTACGATGTTTTCCTCCTTTCCCTCCTCCCTCCTCCCTCCTCGCTTTCCTCTCGTCGTTTTACCCTCCTCGCTCCCTTTCTCTCCTCCCTCCGTTTCTCACAGTAACTTGTCCCCACTTTGTGATCTCTTCCCCTCTATGCTTACATTTTCTTTTTTTTTGGCCTCTTCTTTCCTGTTGCGCATTCTTTCCTCTGGCCCATCTTCTCTCCCCGTTTCCTTCTCTCCTCTTTTCCCTCCATTCTCTCCTCCCCCCTCTCCTCTTGGACCTCCTGTTCTCTCCACATCTTCACCTACTTCCCTACGTCCCTCCTTACCTCCTCCCCACTTCTCCCCATTTCACTCCCCGGTCCTCCCTTTCCTCCCCTCCTCTCGTCCCCCCTTCTCTTCCCCCGTGTTTCCGTTCTTTAATCTACGAAGTCTACTCCTTGTCCCCTCCTGCTCTGTTCTCTCCCCTCTCCCCTTCCCTCTCCTCTGTTTCAAGAGACCTGACCAAGGTTGTGTCAACCAGCAACCCTACCCGTTTTGTACTCCAGTGATTGGCCCTTTTTCTCTTGAGCCTTTCGCTCTCCTCCTTTTTCTCCTTCTCTTCACGTCGCGTCGTTGCCTGGCGTCATCTGTTCCTGTGCCCGTCTCTCCTCTCCCGTCATCTGACGCTTTGCTTCCTGTCCTTTTCTCCCCGACTTTTCTCCGTTCCGTGCTCCGCAACTCTTAATTCTCCTCTTTGTAACCCATTCTCCTTTTCCTTCCCTTCCCTCCCTTTTTTTAACAGGTAACTCCTGTTGTTTCCCATTTTCTCTACTGCCCTATCTCTCAATTCTTGTCCGTCTGCTCCGTGTCTGCTTCTTACCCCCCTTTTTTGCTATCGGTGTGCCTGGTATGTGATTGCCCCCGGATCCGAAATTTGTTTTCTATTGCGGCAGCAATGTTCGTATGTGCAGTGTGCCATCCAAGTCGTCTTTGTGGTGCTTAGAGTCTGAGAGAAGTATCTTGTTCACCACCTATATCTTGAATTTTACTCTGGGATCTGATCATGACTTCTGTCGTTGAAATGGATGATTTACTATTGCTACATGCATGCTTATACTTCTCGTTCTCATGCATGCTCATACTGCCCGTTCTCATGCATGCTCAGACTTCCTGTTCTCTGCCGTGGGATCGGCCATGGAATGTGAACGTTGAGTTGGTCTCCGGCTGCCCTGTATTTATGGGTAAAAAGCTGTTCTTCGTCTTCTGGTGGTGGTATTTTACTGTCGTACTTTGCCGAAGTTTTGTGTCTTCGCCCGTATCACTCGTTTTAAGTCTGTACGTAGACTGGAGGTTGCCCCAAGTACAACTATTACAACCCGGCGTTCTATTCGGGTGAAGACGGTAGGACTCCATCTTGTTTCTCCTCCAAGCGCTCGCTGGAATCGTTCTCTCCTTATAGCTGTGGCAACCGTAATCACCCCGACGGCGAGACAGGTGTAGGCTTTGAGGCCGTTGAACTTTGAGAGCTGTTTGCCTCAGGGCTGTGTTGTTTATGTACTAGCAGGTCGATAAGAGTATTTGAATGAATGATTGGGCGTGTTACCTACATGGCTGCTGGGCGGGCTAGTGGAGGGTCTGGGAGGTCGTTGAGCGCGTAATGGTGTCTTGAGGGAAGTGAGGCACGGGACGGGAATGGCTTTGGTAGGGCGACGTAGGTCGTTCAAGGATGTCTAGTTATTTGAGAGATTCCTAGCGACGGGACGAGTAGGCAAAGTGAGAATGTCATGATCGTGGGTGTGTCGGAGGCGAACTCATAGCGTGTTCTGAGCTTCAGCGTGTCTAGGGCGCAGCACAAGGGTCGCGCATATGGGGGCCAGAATATTTCTGGCAGAGATGTACGTCGTCGTAGACTAGAGGAAAGAAACGCCTTCCGTGCTCTCCGAAGTGCCGAAGACGAGAGGAAAGAAACGACCATTGAGATAGAGGAGACAGTACAGGGATTGTGTCGCGATTTTGTAAGTCACTCCTCCTTCCCTTCTGCATATGCTTTGTCTAGATCCGTTCTCAGTCTTCTTGTCCTCCTGCATGACAGCTTCGAACTGCGATCGGTTTTCTTTCTTTTTGTCCTTTGGCGGCTGGCTTTGAAATTCCGATTTCGCAGATAATAGCTATCTTTCGCTGGCGACGTTCTTAGGGTGGGTGCTGTGCAAGGTGAAATCGCTCGTTGTTTGATCATGCTATCTTGCTCATGGCTCGCGCTCTGCTTTGCTGCGTCCCTTTTCTATTTATTCCTCGCGTTCACTGTCTCCGTAGCGTCGTTTCTTCTACCCGCCCCGCTCGTGCTACTACACGGCAGAGGATTTTTTTTCTGCAGGAAACTGACTTCTACCACAGCTAGCTCTTTCCCTTTCTGTCAACGATTCTCGTTTGCCGGGTTTCAAAGAAGCCCTTCTCGTCCGCTACACTCTTGGGGTTTGAGAGGTGCATTATCTTGGAAGCAATGCACGAAACCAGCGAAACTTGAAGAAAAGAAGGATAGGGTTAAAAAAAAAACCCTACTCCTAGAAGCGAGTAAATGCACGAAACCAGCGAAACTTGAAGAAAAGAAGGCTTCCTTCTTCCCCCGAATACAACGTACGGTCATTAGCTATATTTAGTCTGAATGACAGCCCAAATACAGCTATAATGACCGTACGTTGTATTCGGGGGAAGAAGGTAGGGTTAGAAACAAAAAAAACAAACCCTACTCCTAGAAGAGAGTAAATGGAAGGGGCGCAGCGGAGTCGATTAGGACTCCTAGAAGAGTAGATGGAAGGGGGTGCGGCGGTGTCGATTAGAACGAGAGGGTGGTATAGGTGCAAGGTGTGATCGTGGTTTCTCATATCTGAAAACAATCGTAACGCGTCCTCCTGCGAATGGTTGCTGAGATGCACATGGTCTTGTTTCGTGTTTAACGACTAGACTAACTAAAGAACATGGTCTTGGAATGTAATCAGCCCATATGCTCATTTAATTGCCTCCGATCTATAGAAGGCCAGAAGTATTACGGTAGGAAGTTCTGAATGTGGATACCGTCGGGTGGTAAGCACCTTAACGGAGAGCGGAGCAAGGTATCTTCAGCGGCTGGCTTCCAGCGAAGTGKGTTGTCGTTGCCACATTATTGGAAGGCTTAAAGTTGTCAAGCGCGGGCTTAAATTTTTCAAACGGAAGTTCTGAATGTGGATACCGTCGGGTGGTAAGTACCTTAACGAACGTTAGAGAGGGGAGCAAGGTATCTTCAGCGGCTGGCTTCCAGCGAAGTGCGTTGTCGTTGCCACATTATTAGAAGGCTTAAATTTGTCAAGCGCGGGCTTAAATTTGTTAAGCGCGGGCATGTAATTAATTGCCCTGCGTAGTCTGTCGGGTGAGGACGGTCCGATCCAGGGATAACGGATCGGACAAATTAACTGTCCTCTTTTGCAGTATTGGTGGGGGAGTGCTACGACGGGCAAATCGCATCCTTTCTCTAAATCGCACCCCCCTCCTTAGAGATCCGTAATCGCTTAGTAGTGTTTCTTCCTCCTGCAACATGCACTAGCGAACACACGCGTTCATGCAGGAGTTCCCCCTGGAAACTCTGTGAACCAATTTGGCCGTGCACTAAAGCCGATTCCCTCAGTTGGTGCAGCACCCATGAACTGTAGCAATGCTGACCCGAGTTCGAATTCTACTAGTGTGAGGAGAGAAAAAAAGAGGAAGAAAGAGGAGAGAAGAGAGAAACAAGAACATGCTGTTTTTGACGATGCTAACCTACGTTGCTTGACGCACCTTGCGGCACTGTTTGTAGCGCGTGTAGTTCGTCCAGGTTCTTTTCTCCGTACAACTTTTGGAGTAGGAGTTTGAATAATGAATGTGTATGTGTATGGCTTTCGGTCTGTTGTTTGTCGAGAAGTTAGTAATGCTAACTTGGTACTAATAGCAGCCCGGTGAACCAAAAAAATCGATAACGAACCTGTGTATTTGTATGGCTTTCTGTCTGTTGTTTGCCGGGAGTGAGTACGTTGACTGGGTCCTATTAGCAGCCCTGTTTTTGAACAGAAAAGAAAAGGAGGGGTGTGTGGACTTCGTTCTATCATTTGCCTTTTAGATCATTTGACGTTAGATAATGCTCGCCAATTGTTCCCCGCGTCTCGCTTTCGTTTGAGGAATGCAGTGGATCCTATTGATGTATATCCTATGCGTCAGTGGTGGTCTGACTGAGTCTCAATTTGTCGATTGGAGTATCTGTTTAAGACGCCCGATGATGCACGTACGAGTTCGTACTGTTTTCTCTTCTCTGACATCCGCTCGTTTTTGTTGCAGATTTTTGTCTTGTTAATCAGAATGGTTGATGCTATTGTCTGGCTTTTTGTCTTCTGTTTGTTCTGTTTGCTTTTCTCCAACCGGCTAGCGTCTTAACTCTGTTGCACCGACCTGATTGCATCAGGATTCGAAATAACGGCTTTTGTATACAGACTGCAACTCTTATAGCATTCCGCCACATGGTCCAGTTCGAAACTTTTGAATGCAGGTTGCACTCGTTTCCCTACTTTTTTCGATTTGCTCCTCTTCGATTTGTTCCAAAGAACGAATTTGATTTCTTTGGGTAGATTGTCATTGGCGGCTCGGTTGGGCGTACGGGAAAGTACGTTGTGCTACAGCGGATTTCAGAATTTGCATTTTTCGAATGTGATGTCAGACCTGGGCATGTTTCTCATGTTATGTCAGGGCTGGGCATTTCGTTGTTATGTTGCTTAGTACCCTGATGGCGACAGAGAGATACGGAGAAGGGTATTTCTGTGCCCTCCTTGTGTACTCCACGGCCACCGGCGTAGGTGATCGGAAAGTACTGATCGTTTAATGGTAGATGTTTTTGGTCGCGGGGCACGGGGCTTCCGAGAGACGTCAACGTGGCTGTTTCGATCTGGTTCCCCTTCCTGCCCCCCCATCCCCATCACGCTCCCCCTTCTCCCCCCCAGCGCCCTTATTTTTAGAGATGGCACTGTGCATGCTTCTGTCCATGCTAAGGTGTAGCTCTCCGGTTCCTTTTCTGCCACAAGACGGCGGAATTCCGCAACAACACCAACGGGCCTGTAGCACACTTTTTCAATCGTGTGAATGATTGAAAGAACGGCCTGTCTATATTGGAATGCAGTAATCAGAGGGCTCCTCAGACAGGAAGATGCTCGCTCTTATCACTGCCTGGCAGAGGCCCGTCCGCCAGACTTTCAAAAAAAAAAAAAAAAARACCTGTCTACGAAACCGACTGGAAATACAGACCTGTGCTCAAATCCTAATGGAACTATAGATGGAAGAAAATTCTCAATTACCTGATGACAATGTCTTGAGGCCATTGGCGTTTCCTAGAGAGAAGAAATTTCGAGACACAATCCACGAACCTTCTCTGGTTTGGAAAATAGCTAAAGCAAAACCAAGAGAGAGGACACCTGCAGAGATTCGCAAGATGGGTGTATGTGACTTAGATTCGTGGCATGAAAGTTCCATGGAGAGTGGATTACCTGTGGAGCCAGTCCGGCTTTACGCAGAAGCAGTTGGAGGGTGGTTTAGCTATTAATGAACTCCTGCATTAGCAGGTGCCTCTGATGAGAAGTTGGGTCTCAAGACCTAATCCGCTGCTCATTCCTACGTCTAGTTTTGACAAGAAGTTGCATGTCGCACACACATACCCTTTTATCGAATGGTGTACTGCTGATGTACTGCAGCAGTGCACGTCCAAACTGCATGTCGCACGCAGAAACACCCTTTATCGAATGGTGTACTGTTGATGTATTGCAGTAGTGCACGTCCAAACTGCATGTTGCACACACAAACACCCTTTATCGAATGGTGTACTGCCGATGTACTGCAGTAGTGCACGTCCAAACTGCATGTCGCACACACAAACACCATTGATAGAATGGTGTCTGCTGGGGTACTGGAGTAGTGCACGTCCATGCTTGTGTGTGTAATGTATGTTTTGTAGGCCATATGCATGAGAGGCTGAGGGAAAAGAGATGCGCCCTTTTTGTTCCCTTTCTCTTGCATGAGCACATGAAAAGGAAGGTGAATGTAGTGGCTGTGTACATTTGTTCATGAGAAACAGAGGTGGGAGGTGGTCATCCCTGTCTGGCTCACGCCCATCTCGCCTGTCTCTCTCCTGTTTATGAAGTAATATGAACACATGAATGAGTAGGTTGATGTTCCCATGTGTCTTGCTTGGCAAGTTACAGATGTGGTGTGCACTGATGCCTGTTTCTTGTCCTTTTTTTTGTGTACATGATACTTGGATTAGATAGTAAAGATAGATAGAGATATATAGATGGGTAGAACTTCACGAAAATTTTAAGACTTTTGCAATAC